TAACACTTGGATGGTCTGTCACTGCCCCACCCATCACTCAACAGCCAAATCTGAGAATTAGCTCTGTTGCCTTAGAGAGGAGCTGAGAGAGTCTTCTCTTCTTCAGTCACTCTGGGTTTAGTTTGCTGAACCAACTGGGTGAAGGAGTCACTTCTGACTGGGTCACTCCTTTACCCAGTTGGTTCAGCAGAAGTGACTTTACCAAGTTGGTTCAGCAAACTAAATCCACAGAGCAACAGTCACTTTTTTAATCAGATCCTCTGCTGATTTAACGTGCTGTTCCAGTTCTGCTGCCAGGGCAGACATCTGGCAGTGCAGGAGGAGAGCAGAAGTTCATCTTGTTATCCCACTATTTATGTAACTTCCTGCTGGAGGATTTGGGAAACCTGGTCTGAGTGGAGGAGGCAAAGGGAGCTCTGTGATCGTGGGGCACCCTCTAGTGCTGCTTTCTGTCCCCATTCCCACACTCCCTGTGCCTCTTGGTGGGTTTTAACCCCTGGTTTTCTGGAGCTCTGTTTGCACTGTTCACCTGCAGATACTTTGCCTTAAGGGCCATTTTCCTTCTCCATTTCATCCTTCCTAAATATTCCCTAAAATGCCACGAGGAGCCAGTGAAAGTTGTGCTGAGGTTTGCTGTTCAAAGTTCCAACCTCTCCCTGCATCAGTCACATCCAGCAGCACAGGAAAGGTTTGGCCTGGCCTGGCCAGTGTTATTTGACTGCTAAAAGAGATTTAAACAGCCAGTTTTAACAGATATTTTTAAACTGCTTCATTTCTCTTCAGCCACGTGCAGTTTGCCTCAGCAGGATTTCCCTCCACCTCACCTCTGTGCAGAAACCTCACTCAAATCCGGTGAGGAGAGCTCAGATTTCGATTCCTTGCAAACAAACCAGGAACAAAAGGAATGGTTCCTGAGGCAGTCTCAGTTCTACCCCATTTCCAGCTCTAATTTTGTGGGCAGTGGAGCTGCAGCCTCCACAGGAGTGTTCCCACCCCTCAGCTCCCACGGGGAGAGTTCCATGGATCTGGAGGGAGGTTCAGTGTGTGGCTGCAGCTTTGAGAACAAAGGAAGATCTCAGGCAGGAGTCACTCTCTGTATCCAGCAGTGGCTTTCCTAGAGGAGTGCAAAGTCCAGGTCACCAAAGAAATTTAGTCATTAGTGAATTAGTAATAAACTAAAATGCTGTAGATTGTTTAGAGCAATAGCAGGATTTTGATATGAGCAGTTCAGCAGGTGCCTGACTTTGCACTGGAACAATCAGCTGTGCTTTCTCCTCACCTTTTTGGCTTATTCCTTTTCCTGTGCTGACCTTTCCTTTGTCCCAGCCTGATGTCCAGGGCACTTGGGATAGTGGTTGGATGGAATCCAGCCTTCCTCTGGGTTCCTGGGGTGGTTCACCCTGCAGTCACAGCGAGTCAGACCAGCAGCAAAGCCAGCTCATCCCCACTTGGTGTGTTTGTCAGCCTGTGGTCAGAGAGAGAAGCTGGGCTCCACACCTCAGAAACCTAATTCCACAGGGAACTAATCCCAGCCAGCGTGGTGAGAGTGTAGGGAGAAGGCACTGGAAGCTGGAGAGGGGGAACAGAAAGAAAGGGAAGGAGAGGGATGAGGAGAAATGCAGGTACAGGGAAGACAACTGTGGTTCTGGTCTTTGTTCCTTTCTTAGTTTGCCTGAGACTTTAGACTGACATTTTGAGACTAAGCCTGACCTTCAGCCTCTGACTGTTCTCATCTTCCACCGAAACATCCCCTGGCCATCGCTCTGTCCTGGGAGCTTGCAAAGAGAGCCCAGTTCAGTCTGCTGAGGGTGGAACCATTCCCAAAGTGGGTGTTTTAGGTTTGTCCCGTCAGAAGCTGAACCAGACAGCTTTAGGCAGTGGATTAAAGAGAGGGAAGCGTTTCTTAATGAGTCATTAAGGTTGGAAAAGGCCCCCAGGATCATCAAGTCCAACCTCTGAGATCATCGAGTCCAACCTTTTATGTAGCCAGGCTTCAGTGTGTCAGATGCTCAGGAATGTCCTCCCCCAGCTCCCTGATGTAGCTGGGCTGCTGGAAGGTCTCATTTCCCAGATTATTGGCCAGGTCTCATTTCCCAGGTTATTGGCCAGGTCTCATTTCCCAGGTTATTGGCCAGGTCTCTTTTCCCAGGTTATTGGCCAGGTCTCATTTCCCAGAATTTTGGCCAGGTCTCATTTCCCAGAATTTTGGCCAGGTCTCATTTCCCAGGTTATTGGCCAGGTCTCATTTCCCAGGTTATTGGCCAGGTCTCACCCTGGTCCCACTGGCTTGCTTGGAATCATAAAGTGCTTTGGGTTGGGAGGGACCTCAAAGCTCGTCTCGTTCCACCCCCTGCCCTGGGCAGGGACACCTTCCACTGGCCCAGGTTGCTCCAAGCCCTTTCCAGCCTGGCCTTGAACACTTCCAGGGATCCAGGGGCAGCCACAGCTTCTCTGGGCAACCACCAAGCCCAGCCTGAAAGGGCCCATCCTGGTGGGAACAGGCAGGCCTGGCAACACACACCTTTTCTTGGCACTGCAGAGAGGCCTTTTTGAAGACACAAAGCTTTTTTTTTACGTGGTATTTATGTTTATAAAACTGCCTGTGTGGTTTATACTTGATGATTTTAGCGTATTTCCTTTTTTATTTCTGCTTTCCTTTTGATATTTCCTTTCAATATTTAATTTCCTTCTAATATTTCTGCTTGCTTCTGGCATCTCAGCCCTTCCCTCTGAAACCCCTCGAGCCTTGAGGCCCTTTATGCTCTCACTTATGACCAGGGCTGACCCAGGAGGGTCCACAGAGCCTGGAGGAATTCATGGGATATTCTGTGTTTTCAGACAATCACCTCCTTCATTTCCCTGTCACTCTGGGCTCCTCCTTGTAGTTTTTTCGTTGTAGTTTTATTTTTCCATTTGCACAGAATGTGGGTGTGTTAAAGGGCTGCACATTTAGGTTGAATTAAGTCACCTTCCTATGGAATGTTTTCCCTTTTCTCTCTGCCTTTGGTTTAAGGGTTTGCTTGCCTCTTGGGCACACTTTGCCTCTTCAAAATCCCTATTTCCTCTTAATTAGACCTTGCTTTCCAGGTCCTGTCAGTAGTTCTTTTAAGGCCTTTCTCTACCAGTTGTGGAGATTTGGTGCAGCACAACCTGGAAGATGAGAGGGGTGGGCAGGGTTTGGGTTTGGGGCATTTTGTTGGGGGGGTTTTAATCCCCATAATTAAACCTTTTAATCCAAGGTTTAGTAACTTGTACTTGTGGAACAGGTACCAGAAATCCAGAAGGGTTAAGAAGAGAATATAAACCACAAATTATTGCCATCAGTTCTGTTTCTGACCTTCAGAGAATCCTGGAATGCTTTGGGTTGGAAAGGACCTTAAAGATCAACTGATTCCACCCCCTGCCATGGGCAGGGACACCTTCCACTGGCCCAGGTTGCTCCAAGCTCCATCCAGCCTGGCCTTGGACACTTCCAGGGATCCAGGGGCAGCCACAGCTTCTCTGGGCAACCTGTGCCAGGGCCTCCCCACCCTCCCAGGGAAGGATCTCTTCCAGATTATTTCCAGTTGTTGGTATCTGTACCACAAAACTTGTTTTTAACTTGCATTATCCATTCACAAGTTAAACAATATCCCATTTTTGATCGAGTCAGCCTGCAGTTGTACAGCCAGTTATTAAAGTAAATCCCTTAAAAGGCTTCAGGACACTTCAACAGGCTTCCATATGATTTAGTCTTTGGTATATTTGACATTTAGAAGTCTCTTCTGGATGTTGCAGCACTAAATATAACCACCTCAGGTTTTAATTTCCAGGGGCTGTCGGTGGCCAGAAGGAGATGTTTGTAAAGGCCAGGTTTTGGAGCTGACACCTGCCTGACCCACCCACTGAATTCATAGTCCTCTTCTCCCCTTCTGTAAAACTGCTTTTTAAACTCTCACTTCTGTTCTCTCCCTGCTGAACAACCTTCTGAAGGGCAGCACAGGAACATTTGCCCTCAGCAAAGCAGGAGAGCACGTCCAGTTCCTCAGCCCAAACCCACCAGATGTGATTTCTTGGTTGTCTTTTATTTGTGTAGGGTTAGTTGTTGCTTTTGTATCATGTGCTGGGCATGTAAAGATGATGGTGTCCCGTGAGGTGTTGCTTGAAAAAAAGAGAGGGGGGGAAAAATGAGAAAAAGAAAAAAAAAAAAAGAGAAAAAGAAAAACAAAAGAGAAAAAGAAAAAGAGGGAAAAAAAAAGAAAAAAGAGAAAATAACAAGAGAAAAAAGAAAAAATAAAATGAAAAAGAGGACAAAACGCAGACATGAAAACAGATAAAAATTAAAAAAAAAAGAAAATTAAACAAAAAGCGAAAATACAAAAGAAAAAGACAACGAGAAAAATGTCAAACGAGCAATCGAACAAGAAGAAAAAGACAAACAGTCAAGAAGAGAAAAGAAAAAAGAGACAAAGAACCAAGGAAAGACACAAAAGAGCTCCAAAAAACCGCGGTACACCAGAGGCCGTAACCACACGCGTCACCAGCGAAACCAAGCCGAAGAGCCAACTGCCCTGTTTCATTGCCTTTGCTCAGTGTTGGGGGTGACAGGCACCCTGGCAGGCATTTTTTGGGGGCTGTTTCTGTTGTTATTCTCTTGCCTGATGTCCCAGAGGTGACTGAACAAGAGACTGTCCTTTACCTAGCCCAGAGCTGTGCCCTTTGCCAGGGCAGGGGTTGGTGCCCGTTGTGATGTTCTCCTTGTGTCCCTGTCCCCCAGAGCTGTGCCCTTTGCCAGGTGCCCGTTGTGATGTTCTGGTTGTGTCCCTGTCACCCAGAGCTGTGCCCTTTGCCAGGGCAGGGGTTGGTGCCCGTTGTGATGTTCTCCTTGTGTCCCTGTCCCCCAGAGCTGTGCCCTTTGCCAGGGCAGGGGTTGGTGCCCCTTGTGATGTTCTCCTTGTGTCCCTGTCCCCCAGAGCTGTGCCCTTTGCCAGGGCAGGGGTTGGTGCCCGTTGTGATGTTCTCCTTGTGTCCCTGTCACCCACAGCCCCAAGAGCCGCCTGATCCAGCTGAAGAAGGAGAAGCTGGAATACACCCCGGGGGAGCACGAGCACGGGCTGTTCCCTGCCCCCATCCACGTCGGTGGGTACCTGGGGGGGTTGGTGGTGGGGTGAGCTGGGGATCCCCTGCACTGCCCAGCTCTCTGCTCTCTCCCTCTTCCCTCTTTTTGATCCCTTTGGTCACCCCTGAACTCTGCCCAGGGCCACGCTCAGCTCTCTGTGCTCCCCAGTGCACAAGTTGGGGCTCAGGAGGCTTTTCTTGACTTGCCACGTGAGCTTTGTTTTCATTTTTTTGGTGTGTCTGAAAATGCCAGTCTGGTGTTCAAACCTGCTTTAGCTGTGATAGCCCTCAGATGAAATGCAGAGCAAGAGTCTCCTCCTCAGAGTAAAGCTGCAGCAGAGTAGGCAGAGACAATTATGACCATTTGTTAAATCCAAAAAGCTGAGCATGGAATAATAAATTCCCACTTGTCCCTGTGTCTGACCTTAAACATGGATAAAAGGGTGGAAGAATGAAAAGCTTTGCTATTATCTGGGTTTTTATTTTATCCCAATTCTTAGGTGTTGGGTAGGACAAAAATGGGATTTAGGGTTTCACAGAATCACAGAATCATGGAATGGTTTGGATTGGAAGGGACCTCAAAGCTCATCCAGTGCCACCCCCTGCCATGGGCAGGGACACCTTCCCCTGGCCCAGGCTGCTCCAAGTCCCGTCCAACCTGGACATTTCCAGGGAAGTGCCTGTGGAAAGAAGCTGTAACCCAAGTCTAGCCCAGGCACTTGGAGCTGCTGGAGCTTGGGATGCTGCTCCCAGGGGTGGGATGTCCCTGAGCTCCCAAAGTGCAGCTCCCATCATTTCCCAGGATGAACCAAGGCTGAGTAACTTCTCAGGTAATTGTTTCAGCTTTTGAAGTGCCGTGGTTTCTTGCTGCAAGTCCCGTCATGCCAGGCAGGTTTGGGACATTCCACTTTGTTCAGCAGGAATATTTGTCCCATCAAACACTCCCGTGTCACTGGCTTGTCTTCTTCAGCTGAGAAGTTTGGCTCTCCCAGCGAGGCAGAAGAGTTGGCCAGATCTGTGTGAATCAGGGGCCACAGAGCAGGTTTCAGAGCTGAAGGTGGTGATTAAAGTTCTCAGCATTCTCCCAAACCTGCCCTCTGTCACTTCCTGTTGGAATGGGGGTCATCGAACCTCCCCGTGGCCGAGGCATCTGCCAGGACACTCCGACTCCCAGTGCTGGTGCTGCTGCCACATTCCAGCTCCTGCCCTGGGCCTGAGCTGCTCCCAGGGCTCCATCCAGGGCACTGGGGATGGTTTAACCCCGGAGCAGTGGCCAGCTTTGGGACTCTGCCAGGGCACTGCACTTGAGGGGGGTGAAGGGACCTTCCCCTGCTCCAGGCTCGGTGCCAGGGCACCTGAAAGAGCCCTTTGTTTGGGCTGCTGAGGTCACAGGAGTGAAAGCAAATTCCCAGCAGATTTAGCTCTTTCCTGGAACCTTGTAGGGATGAATAAGGCATTGAAAATGAAAAGTAATTTAGGGGGGAATTGTAAGGAAAACATTACCATTTTTATTTTCCAGTGGAGAGGGGGGGTGTGTGAATTTATATGGAACCATTGCTGGAGGAACATAAAGGCACTTGTTGGGAGTGAGAGAAGCTGGGAAAATCAGACCTGGGAGTGACACCTCATCCTGCTCACTGCAGTTTTGGGACACAGGATTCCAGCAAAACGATCAGAGAAAGTTTAATCTTGGCTAGAACTCAGCAGTGTCAGCCCTGGGGTCTGGAATGAATGATGTCATGGGTCAGGGTCCTTTTGGGGTGACAGGGAATGTCAGAGCAGAGCCAGAATCTGCAGAGAAAGCACTGATTTCTGTCTGAAACAGTTTCAGTTATTGCTGAAAATACAGAGCATCTTGAAGCCTTTCCAAAACATTGGGGAATGTGTTTGCCAAGTCTGAATTCATTCTTAAATCTCTTCTGGTAAAGGTCACAGGAACAGGCTTGGAGGCTATTTTTAAACCTGATTTGATTTCTTTGAGTGCAGTGTTGGGATTTACCATCGTGCTGGGGCAGTGCAGCAGGTTTGTCCTGTGCTGAAGCCTTGGGTTGTGCACAGGAGAGTTCAGGGGAACCTGTTGGCCTTGAGCTGTCTCATGGAGAAGGCCCAGGGTCACTTCACAGGGCTGTGGTCACTTCTGTCAGGTGTTGTGGTCACTTCAGAGGGCCGTGGTCACCTCTGTAAGGTGTTGTGATCACTTCACAGGGCCATGGTCACCTCTGTCAGGTGTGGTCACTTCACAGGGCCATGGTGACCTCTGTCAGGTGGTGTGGTCACTTCACAGGGCCATGGTCACCTCTGTCAGGTGTGGTCACTTCACAGGGCTGTGGTCACCTCTGTAAGGTGTTGTGATCACTTCACAGGGCCATGGTCACCTCTGTCAGGTGGTGTGGTCACTTCACAGAACTGTGGTCAGTTGTGTCAGGTGTTGTCTCTTTGCAGGGCTGTGGTCACCTCTGTCAGGTGTTATGGTCAGTTCTCTCAGATGTTATGGTCAGTTCTCTCAGGTGTTGTGGTCAGTTCTGTCAGATGTTATGGTCAGTTCTGTCAGGTGCTGTGGTCAGTTCTCTCAGGTGTTGTGGTCATTTCTCTCAGATGTTATGGTCAGTTCTGTCAGGTGCTGTGGTCAGTTCTCTCAGGTGTTGTGGTCATTTCTCTCATGTTATGGTCAGTTCTCTCAGGTGTTGTGGTCAGTTCTCTCAGATGTTATGGTCAGTTCTGTCGGGCTGTGGTCAGTTCTCTCAGATATTGTGGTCATTTCTCTCAGGTGTTGTGGTCAGTTCTCTCAGGTGTTGTGGTCAGTTCTCTCAGGTGTTGTGGTCAGTTCTCTCAGGTGTTGTGGTCATTTCTCTCAGGTGTTGTGGTCAGTTCTGTCAGGTGCTGTGGTCAGTTCTGTCAGGTGCTGTGGTCATTTCTCTCAGATGTTATGGTCAGTTCTCTCAGATGTTATGGTCAGTTCTCTCAGGTGCTGTGGTCAGTTCTCTCAGGTGTTGTGGTCAGTTCTCTCCGGTGTTATGGTCAGTTCTCTCAGGTGCTGTGGTCAGTTCTCTCAGGTGTTGTGGTCAGTTCTCTCATGTTATGGTCAGTTCTGTCAGGTGTTATGGTCAGTTCTCTCAGGTGTTGTGGTCATTTCTCTCAGGTGTTATGGTCAGTTCTCTCAGGTGTTGTGGTCACCTCTCAGTGCTGTGGTCAGTTCTGTCAGGTGTTGTGGTCACCCCTCTCAGTGCTGTGGTCAGTTCTGTCAGGTGCTGTGGTCAGTTCTCTCAGGTGTTGTGGTCACCCCTCTCAGTGCTGTGGTCACTCGTGCCAGCTGCTGTTGTCCCTGCCCGGTGCTGTGGTCGGATCTGAGCCAAGACCTTCCGTACCTGTCCCTGGCAGGTCCCACCTGAGCAGGGCAGGAGAGCAGAACACCGACACAGAGGCTCTTCCCCGGGCCTGCCCTGACAGACAGAATGTTCTGGGAGGCTTCTGCTCCCCTGTGTCCCTTCCAGAGGCCCTGCCAGACCCTGGCGAGGTGCCTGGAGCGGCTCCCGTTCTCCGGGGACACGTGGAGATGAGTGTGTGCCACTTACCAACCTTTCTGTTCCAGGAAAGTACCTCAGACAAAAGAGAATTGACTTCCAGCTGCCTTACGACATCCTCTGGCAGTGGAAACACAACCAGGTAGGAGATAAAAAGCCAAGATTGGGATCAGAAGCCTTAGAAGGGAAGCGGCAGCACACGAGAGCTGTGTCTGCACATCCTGCCTGCTGGGGAATATCTTGTTGCTGCCACTGTGTGAGGAGAGAAAGGATTTGCAGATTTGCATATGTGTTTAATGTGGATAATTCCCATTATTCCCTCTCTTGCAAAATAGCAATCCCGGGAGTTTCTGCTGGCAAAAGCCATGGATTTGGCTGCAGACTCTTATTTTGGCGGCGCTGCCTCGTGCAGGGAGCTGGTTCCAGACACGCCCCGGGAGAATTGGGGTGTTCTGCCAGCAGCACTGAGGAATCTCAGCCCTTATTTTCCTTGGATCCATCCCAGCGGAGTGGAATTTATTTTTCACTTGCAAGCTGAAATTTTCCTGCTGAGGGAAGAAGAGGAACCGTCGAACGGGCTCGTTCCCTTTAAAAGAGCTTTAAATATGTGCGAGCCTAAAAATAGGAGGGGTTTTTTGTTGGTTTCCCCTGAGAAGTTTCCACCGAGAGATTTACCACAGGATTTGAGGCTGGGGGTGGGGGGAGTCTGTCCCTGGCTCTGTGGCAAGAAAGTGCTCTCAGCTGTGTAACTTGAGCATGTAAATTAGCAGGACAAATTCCCAGGTACTGTGGCCCCTGGAATCTGATCCTCAAGTCAGGGGCCTTGGGGACACCTCAGCTGAGGGCACTTCCTTGCCCAGTGTTGACGCTGAGTTGCATCTGCCTGTCTCGTCTGCTCGGTATTCCATAAATAATAAATACATGGAATCTGTTTCCTTGACATTTTCCATCTCTCCCTGGAATGTCAGAGGCCCCTGCAGAGGAGTTTCTCTGTGCAGGGGTGTGGAGGTGTCAGGGTCGTGCCTGTGTGTCACTGAGGGAGGGCTCTTAGTGCAGGAAATGTGTGTGAAACACACACATAATTTCCAGTTATTCCTCAAAGCTTGTCTGAAAGGCTGGAATATATCTGAAATTATTATGAATTGTGGTGTAAGCTTCCCTTTTCCCTCCTGCCATCTCCATCTGCAGAGGAAGTTCCTCTGATGAGAAGATGAATCTGCATTTCTCCCACCTGTACTCACAGTGTTCAGAGAATCCCTTAGATCAGAAAAGACCCTGGAGGTCATTGGGTAGCTTTGACAAGCACCTTGATTTTTCTACCTCACTTTTTCAAGCGTTGGCACGTGGTGACTCCACCAAAGATGGTTTCCCCAATGTGGGTTTAAATAATTGCCCTTCTTTCCAGCCCTGTCCAGAGGAGCCTGTCCTTGGGACAGCTGGTTCCCACATTGCTCTGGGCACACAGAACAAGCCATGGGGTGGACAAACTGCTCCAGTGTCTCATTAAATCCAGGTTCTGCTTATTCACATCCTTTTTGTGACCTATTTGCTAATGCAGTCTGAGCCTAGGGAAGAGAATGCAGATTTCTAGGAATGATTACAGAACTGTTCCCTATGTAACAGAACATCATTTCCCTGATCCTTTTGAATAACAGATGCACTTATGCAATGTATTAAAATTTTCTTTCTCTTCCTTTCAGTTGTATAAAAAGCCAGATGTCCCACTTTACAAAAAAATCCGTTCTAGTAAGTAAAATCTTATTACTAAACTGTTAATTGTGGAATTTTCACATGACACCTCTTCTTTCTGTCCTGCTCTTTGTCCTGCCAAAGTCACTTCCACCTGCTTGTTTTGTTTTTTTTTTTGCTTTATTTAATTGGAATGAAAATACTGTAGATAAGCAGTTCTGGTTTTTTCACCTGGGAAGAATTCTTTTCCCTGTTTGGGTTTGTTTTCTTTCTCTTTTTTTCCTACAGATGTCTACGTGGATGTCAAACCCCTCTCTGGCTACGCGGCCACCACCTGCAACTGTAAGAAACCAGAGGATGACAGTGGGAAGGGCTGTGTGGAGGACTGTCTGAACAGGTCAGAATGGCTTCCTTGGGTTATTTCACATCCTCTCTTAGGAAGAGAGTTGTGCTGGATGCAACCCCAGCAGGAAAGGCATCGTCATGGGGGTCCAGGCTCCTTCCTCCTGCTGGGAGGGAAAATTCCCAGTCTGAGCATCTGGGGGTCCCACTGACACCCCCCAGGCTGAGCTCCCCGCTCCAGGGGATTCCTCAGCACTGCCAGAGAAACAATCCCTTTGGAATGAACAATCCCCCTCTTCTCCAGAGGAAGATCCCATTAAAAGCTCCATTTTGCCCTTTGAGTATCAGTGAGAGCCAGGCTGGGAATCACTGCGGGAATTACCCCTTGAAAACAAACAGCACTGTAGTTCCTGAGCACCTTTTGTTTCATTTGTTATTATTGGTTGGTGTCTCTTCCAGCTCTCAGAGTGTGCTCTCTCCCTCCCCTGTTGTGTGTTTCAGGATGATCTTTGCAGAGTGTTCCCCCAACACGTGCCCCTGTGGGGAGCAGTGCTGCAACCAGCGCATCCAGAGGCACGAGTGGGTGCAGTGCCTGGAGAGGTTCCGGGCCGAGGAGAAAGGATGGGGTATTCGTACCAAGGAGCCCCTGAAAGCAGGACAGTTTATCATTGAATATCTGGGAGAAGTTGTTAGTGAGCAAGAATTCAGGTAGAAATATTTATTTGCTGCTTTGGCGTGGAAGGCTCGATGAGTGACTTTGGCATCTGTGGTCGTGGGTGGGATATCCTTAGACAGGAACAAAGGGGGGGATAAGGAATCCTGTTCTGGTCACAGCCAGAAGGGAGGCTTAGAATTCGCATTTTTAGATCAGTCAAGTTGTTCTCAGTTCAATGGAGAGGAGTTTGAATGAGTGTTTGCAATGAATCCTGTGCCTCATCTGCCCTGTAAATGTGAAATGCTGCGAGTGACTGTGAGTCCAAACGAGAACTGTGCAGGATTTGGACGGTGCCAGGTAGAACTGAGGGGCAGAGTGGGACTGGAAGGGACATGGGCTTTTGCAGGTGGGTGTGAAGTTAAAAAGAAACCAAGTGGGAGCATTAATAACCAATGAAAGAAAGAAATTGTCTTGTTCACTCTGTAGCATCGTGGGATATTTGAGGTTGGAGGGACCTGCTGCTCTCAGAGCTCCACCAGAAGGCAGCTGCAGTCTCCTCATACAGAGACAACCACTAACACTGACTCCTGTCACTGTGCTCCTGTGATCCATGGATGTGATTCCAGAAACTGTCCAGCCCCCAGGAAGCAGCTGGTTGTTGTCCACGTGCATACACAGACACCCCAAAGAATGTATACTTGCATTTTCTCTTCCATACACAGGTTATCACCATGAAATGTGTACACATAATCTGCAGAACCCAAAAGGGAGCATTCCAGAAGAGCAAATTTCTAAATTCTAACCCAAGCTCTGTCAGTGGCCTTGACTTATAAAAATAGGTACAATCATGGTTTTCCTCCCTCTCTAGGTGTACGGCTCTATAAAATATAAAACATTACTTTTATCCTTCCAAACCCCCTCTGAGAACTCGCTGTGTCTCTCGCTGTGCCGCTCCCCGTGTGCTGAGGGGGGGACAGGCAGAGTGACGGGGGCTCCCTGTGTCCCCGGCAGGAACCGCATGATCGAGCAGTACCACAACCACAGCGACCACTACTGCCTGAACCTGGACAGCGGGATGGTCATCGACAGCTACCGCATGGGCAACGAGGCTCGCTTCATCAACCACAGCTGCAACCCCAACTGCGAGATGCAGAAATGGTGAGCGGGGGGCTTTCTGCTCCCTGGGGACCCGGGGCACCCGGGCTGAGGGAACCGGAGCAGCTGAGGGGGTCTGAGCTCAGAACAGGGAGGGGAGGGGTGTCAGTAACCCTCAGACCTTAGAATCATAGAATCATGGAATCAGCTGGGTTGGAAGGGACCTCCAAGATCATCCAGTCCAACCCTTGATCCAAGCCCGCCGTGGTTCCCAGCCCATGGCACTGATGCCACATCCAGTCTGTCCTTAAACACCTCCAGGGACGGAGAATCCACCCCCTCCCTGGGCAGCCCATTCCAATGGCTGAGCACTCTCTCTGGAAAGAAATTCTGTCTAATATCCAACCTAACCCTCCCCTGGCACAGCTTCAGACCCAACCCTCTTGTCTTGCTGAGAGTTGCCTGGGAGAAGAGACCAACCCCCCCTGGCTCCCCCCTCCTGTCAGGGAGTTGCAGAGAGTGAGGAGGTCTCCCCTGAGCCTCCTCTTCTCCAGGCTGAACAGCCCCAGCTCCCTCAGCCTCTCCTCATAGCACTTGTGCTTGAGTCCCTTCCCCAGCCTTGTTGCTCTCCTCTGGCCCTGCTCCAGCCCCTCCATGTCCTTCCTGAGCTGAGGGCCCAGAGCTGGACACAGCACTCCAGGGGTGGCCTCACCAGCGCTGAGTCCAGGGGCAGAATCACTTCCTTGGACCTGTTGGCCACCCTGTTCCTGAGCCAGGCCAGGATCCATTGGCCTTCTTGTCCCCCTGGGCACACTCTGGCTCCTGTTCAGCCTCCTGTCCATCCCCACTCCCAGCTCCCTCTCTGCCTGGCTGCTCTCCAGCCACTCTGTCCCCAGCCTGTGGAGCTGCAGGGGGTTGTTGTGGAGTGTTTGCAAGGGCTTTGCAAACAAGGTCTAAGTTTTCTGGCAAGGCAAGCCCAGCACTGCTGGTTGTCACACTGCAAATGTTGAAGGCCAGGTAACACTGTGAACTCCTCTATGTGTGTATATTCTTTCTTCCTGGCAGTTGAAATATTTTTTAACACAGGCAAAGAGGGAAACAGTGGGATTGCAGCACAGCCTGTGTCACACCAGCACTGGTATAGTGGCATTTTCTCTTCTGTGCACAGATATCAACAGTGCAGTGTGAAATGCAGGGCCAGGCTAGGAGGAAATAAGTGCTGAGGGATTTGTAGTGAATGATTTACAGGGAAGTAGCAGATGGTGGTGACAGGAATCACTGTGGGGACAGTGCAGCAGAGTAGCTCGTGTTTCCCAGATAATTCTGGTGGATTTAAGCACTAGTAATCAAGTTTTAAATTTGAAAATCCAACACAAAATGAATGAAAGAATTGGGAGGGGACTCTGCCCCTCTGCTCTGCTCTGCTCTGGTTAGAGACCCCACCTGGGGTCCTGCCTCCAGCTCTGGGGTCCCAGCACAGGAAGGACATGGAGCTGTTGGAGCAGGTCCAGAGGAGGCACCAAGGGGATCAGAGGTGGAGCAGCTCTGCTGGGAGGAAAGGCTGGGAGAGTTGGGATTGTTCAGCCTGGAGAAGCTTTAGGGTGACCTGATTGTGGCCTTCCAGTGCCTGCAGGAGCTACAGGAAAGATGAAGAGAGACTATTTCCAAGGGATGGAGGGACAGGACAAGGGGGAATGGCTTCAAATTGACAGAGGGCAGGGTCAGATGGGATATTGGGAAGAAATTCCTCCCTGTGAGAGTGGGGAGGCCCTGGCACCCTGGGAGGAGTTGCCCAGAGAAGCTGTGGCTGCCCCTGGATCCCTGGAAGTGTCCAAGGCCAGGTTGGACGGGGTTTGGAGCAACCTGGGCTGGTGGAAGGTGTCCCTGCCTTCCACCCCCATGGCAGGGGGTGGAACAAGATGAGCTTCAGGTCCCTCCCAACCCGAACCATTCTGTGGTTCTGTGATTTTGAGATGAGTTTGATGCTCAGTGTAAGATTTCAGTCTAGGAGGGGGCCTGAGTGCTGGCAGTGGACAAGCTGATTTCTTGTGATAGCCAGGACAGTTCGTAGCTTTTCCTGAAAGCACAACTTCCTCCTCTCTGTAAATGTTGTGTTCACTTTTTGGCCTTCGGGGTTTATTGTAGCAGAGAAATGAGAGAACTGTACAGGTGAAGAACAGGCAGGACCCAGGGTGCAGCAGAAGTGTTGCTTCCTGTCTCTGACACTCCCACTGTGTGGACAGAGAGGATCTCAGGTGTAATCCTGGGGAATGTTTGCTGGTGTTTCCCCTGCAGGTCCGTGAACGGTGTTTATCGGATCGGGCTCTATGCACTCAAGGACATGCCTGCTGGGACTGAGCTGACCTACGACTACAACTTCCACTCCTTTAACGTTGAAAAGCAGGTAAAGATCCCACGGGGAGACCTTAAAAAAAGTGTCACCCAGGGCCAACAGTTCTGTGAAGCCGAAGGTCCGTTAACAAAACCTGTCGCGTTGTATTTGGCACAAGAGGTTCTTTGGAATGCTGAGGGAGAATCGAAATCTTTGGGGGTTTATTTAATTTATTTTTTTCTCTTCCCCCCCCTCCCAAAGCAACTCTGCAAGTGTGGCTTTGACAAATGCAGAGGGATAATTGGGGGGAAAAGTCAGCGCATGAATGGACTTTCAAGCAAAAGCAACCAGCCTGTGAGCACCCACAGAAGGCCTGGACGGTCGAAAGAGAAGAGGAAGTCAAAGCACAAATTAAAGAAGAGGGTAAGTATTAAAGACAGAGTTTGGGTGGGTAGAGGTTAATGGGAAATCAGTCTGTGCCATCAGACCAAAAACTGGTGTATCTGTACGTGCAGCAGAGCAGTGCTGCAGGTTCTGTCTCAGGGACTGCTCTGAGTGCTCTGCTGAGCTCTTGGCACAGTTTTTCCTGTCTATCAGAACCATCTGTTTTCCAGAGGGGCCACATCCCTGAGGAACCCAGTGAAAGTGTGAACGCCCCGACCAGGCTGACCCCTCAGCTGCAGATGAAGCCCATGTCCAACAGGGAGAGGTAAGGGAGGGTTTCTGGGGGACTGGCCTCAGAAATGGAGTGTTGAACAAACACTGGTGCATCATGAAATGCCTGAGGATGCAGCTCTGAGTTCCCCTCTAACCCAGCCAGGCTGGAGTTCCTCCCCACTGAGCAGAGAAGGCACAGAGTGTACCTCTGAATATCCAGCTTCTCCCCCGCGTTAGGGAATTCATTTCTCAGTAAAAAGTGGTCCTTGCATCCCTTTCTGATTCCCGTAGGAATTTTGTGCTAAAACACCACGTCTTTCTGGTACGAAACTGGGAGAAGATCCGACAGAAGCAGGAGGAGGTGAAGCACGTCAGTGACAACATCCACAGCACGTCCCTGTACACCCGCTGGAACGGGATCTGCCGCGATGACGGGAACATCAAATCAGGTGAGGCCACGCAGGGGCTGCCCTGGGGACCCAGGTGGGGTTTAACCTCTGTATAAATCCGGTGTAGGGTCACTACAAGACCCATACACCTGTTGTAAGACGTGCAGGGGATGCTGCTCGGGTAAAGGCACTCAGGGGTCTCCTGAATCCTGGTAGGAGGTGCCACGTCTGGTGTTTCAGCAGGAGGGGTTTGTCAGAGCGTGGTATTTAACATTGTGCCATGCTCTAGTTGACAAGGTGGTGATCAATCAAAGGTTGGTCTTGGAGGTCTTTTCTAAATGGTTCTAGGATATAATTCTGTGATATGAGGAAGAAATTCTTCCCTGTGAGGGTGGGGAGGCCCTGGCACTGGTTGCCCAGAGAAGCTGTGGCTGCCCCATCCCTGGAAGTGTCCAAGGCCAGGTTGGACAGGGCTTGGAGCAACCTGGGCTAGTGGAAGGTGTCCCTGCCCATGGCAGGGGGTGGAACAAGAGGATCTGTGAGGTGCCTTCCAACCCAGGCCATTCCATGACTGTGATTTCGTGACCATCTGTGGTCGGGCCCTGACAGGGGCTGTTTCCTGCTCTCTGTATCCCTAGACCAGAAACAGTTGTGCTGACTTTGAAAATTGTCATCTATCCTCATAATTTTAGAGCTTTTTGTCTCTAAATGGGAATGGGACAAAATACAACTATCAGGGGAAAATTAACCCTGCTCCAAAACGGAGGACCATCACCCTCCCAGCCAGGCAGGATTGGGCCCCCACTGTCAGGTGCAGGAGAAGGTGGGCAGTCAGTGTTTGGGGTGAACTCAATGACATGTTTTATTTGCTCCAACAACATAAAACATTCCAATAACCAGCTGATTAAACTGATTAAAATTTAAGTTTAGAGCCCTGAGCAGTGAGAGCCGACTTGGGAACAGCAGCCGACGCCTTGTGCTGCTCCAGCAGCTCAGGAGCCGCGTTAATCTTAATAATCCCGGGTGGAGGTGCTGTGATTTGCTCTCTGGTGGGTTTTTTGTTTAGAGGTGACTCTTTTCTGCCCTCCCCCAGACGTGTTCATGACCCAGTTCTCAGCCCTGCAGACGGCCCGCTCGGTGCGGACGCGGCGCTTGGCGGCGGCCGAGGAGAACATCGAGGTGGCTCGTGCTGCCCGCCTGGCACAGATCTTCAAGGAAATATGTGACAGCATCATATCCTACAAAGGTGAACCTGGCACTCCTTAAAAAAAATCTCCGCGGGGATGTTTTCAGCCTCTGGAACAACGGACTCTCAGAATAGGAGATACTAGAAAAAGATGGGATGTTGAAGAACTCGTTTTTTTCTTTCCCCACTTACCTATAATCACTTTGTTTTATCCTCTGCCACCAGAACCCTCATATGTTGCTGTCCTTTAAAACTGATTTTTCAAAATTTCAGCAAAAATCAGAGTTGCAAGGACACTGTCCTTCATTTTGATACCTGGGGTCTGATTGCAGCCACCAGCATCTAGAAATGCAGAAGCATTTTAATTTCCCGTGGCTCAGTTAGTAGAATAGCCTTTTTCTAACCCAGATTGAATGTTAGTTACTTGTATTTTTAAGTTTTACTCCGGGAATGTCCCTAAGCTGTGTGTCCCTGTTGCAGATTCCTCCAGGCAGGCGCTCGCAGCTCCTCTCCTGAACCTGCCCCCAAAGAAAAAGTAAGTGCTGCCTTCCCAGAACATCCCCGAGCGTTCCCCGATGGATTTGCACGGTTGGAATTGCTCATGAACGTGACACTGTGCCAATGTTCCCCCCTGTAGAAATGCAGACTATTACGAGAAGATCTCTGACCCCTTGGACCTCGCCACCATTGAGAAGCAGATCCTGACTGGCTACTACAAAACTGTGGAAGCTTTTGATGGGGACATGCTGAAGGTGTTCAGGAATGCAGAGGTGAGGCTCCCTCTGGCCTGAGAGCAGGGATGTGACCTCCTTTAGTGCTCTTGCTGACTTACAGTAGCAAAGGAAGAGAAATATCTTGGAGGAGGAGAACTTGTGCTGATCTGTTCCTGGTGAGCCCTCGAGAGCAATCCATGTGCTCTTTGATTGCCTTAGGTCAGGCAGAGAGAAGGTCAAGGACATGCATGAATAGCTCACCTAAACAAATTCCAGTTCCTTCTGGAAGCAGCACCTTGTTCTTCAGTGTCAGATGTCAGAGAATCACAGAATCATGGAATGGTTTGGGCTGGAAGGGACCTTAAAGATCATCCAGTCCCACCCCTCTGCCCTGGGCAGGGACACCTTCTACTAGCCCAGGTTGCTCCAAGCCCCATCCAGCCTGGCCTTGGACACTTCCAGGGATCCAGAGGCAGCCACAGCTTCTCTGGGCAACCTGTGCCAGGGCCTCCCCACCCTCACAGCCAAGAATTTCTTCCATAGAGCCAACCTAAATTTAATCTGTCATTGCGAAGCCATTCCCCTTGTCCTGTCACTCCAGTTCTTGAGGAACAGCCCCTCTCCAGCCTCCTTTTAGCCCCTTCAGACACTGGAAGGTGCTGTGAGTTCAGCACACCACCTTCTCTTCTCCAGCCTGAACATTCCCACCTCTCCCAGCCTGTCTCCATAGGGGAGGTGCTCCAGTCCCCTTATCAACTTTGTGGCCTCCTCTGGGCTTGCTCCGACAGTTCTGATGTTGGGGGCACCAGAACTGGCCACAATATTCCATGTGGGGTCCAGGAGAGCAGAGTAGAGGGGCAGAATCCCCTCCCTGGGCCTGCTGCCCACTCTGCCTTGGATCCCCTTGGTTTCTGGGCTGTGAGGGTACAGGGACGGGGCAAGCTGAGTTTTCGGTCACCCGTCACCCCCAAGTCCTTCTCAATCCCTTCTCCACCCACCTGGTGAGAATAAGGAGTGGGATGGAGAGGTGCCCCCCACATTTCAGAGGATCAGCCGGGTCAGAAAAGCCCTCTGAGCTCACCGAGCCCAACCTTCGACCCCACAGCCCCTCGTGTGGTGTTTGGGGCGCGGCTCAGGGCAGACCCAGACCCCTCCTGGGTGCACCAAAAACCCAGGGCTCGGAGACGAAGCCCTCGCCGTGTGTTCTCCCCTCAGAAATACTACGGCAGGAAGTCCCCCACGGGCCGCGACGTGTGCCGGCTGCGCAAGGCCTACTACAGCGCCCGGCACGAGGCGGCCGCGCAGATCGACGAGATCGTGGGCGAGACGGCCAGCGAGGCCGACAGCAGCGAGACCTCGGTGTGCGACAAGGACAACGGGCACGAGAAGGACGAGGACGTCATCCGCTGCATCTGCGGCCTCTACAAGGACGAGGGGCTCATGATCCAGTGTGAAAAGTGCATGGTGAGGCAGGGCAGCCCAAAATGGAATCTCTCTCTTTTTCTCTTCTCCACCACCAGCAGTTTCCATGTAGTCAGTGCATGAATTACCTCTGCAGCCCTTCATTTCCTCTCCAAAAGAGTGGAGGTGCTGTTTTCACAGAGGAAATGGAGATGCTGTTTTCACAGAAGAAATGCAGCTTGTGTTTCTATGTAGAGGAGCTGGAACTGCCACAGCTCCTGCCCTTGGGAGGGAGAAATGAATTTCCACAGTTTTAGGCTTCCACTGCATCTGTGGACTTTAAAAGGACGAGGGGCTCATGATCCAGTGTGAAAAGTGCATGGTGAGGCAGGGCAACCCAAAATGGAATCTCTCTCTTTTTCTCTTCTCTGTGACCAGTAGTTTCCATGTAGTCAGTAGCATGAGTTACCTCTCCAGCCCTGCATTTCCCCTCCAAAAGAGAAGAAGTTGTGTGTTCTAAGGAAATGCAACTTGCGTTTCTGTGTAGAGGAGCTGGAACTGGCACAGCTCCTGCCCTTGGGAGAGAGGAATTAAATCCAACAGTTTTGGGCTTTTACACACGCAGTTGCCTGGGGATCCTGTCTGTCTTCTGATGTGCTGTGAAATAGTTCAAAGAAAATCTCGACTTTCCTTTCTGAACCTTATTGTCTTGCTCTCCTTAATGTTTTTTGAGAAAAGGCAGCTTGTACACACAGCCTGTGCCAGGACTCTGACTGAGCTGGGCTGTGCCTGTTTCCCCAGGTCTGGCAGCACTGTGACTGCATGGGTGTGAACTCGGACGTGGAGCACTACCTGTGTGAGCAGTGTGAGCCTCGGGCTGTGAGCAGGGTAAACTCTCCTTCCTTAACGCACTTATAAACTGAAGCAGCTCCTGTATTTGTATTTATTGGGGTTGGTAAATGCTGGGGTCTCACTTTCTTACGTTTCTCTTAATTTTTCTCGCTTCTTAAGTTTCTCCCTTCCTGTGTCTGCCTTGGTTTGGGTTCAGTCCCGGGAGGGGTCAGTTCTTCTCTGCATGATTCCAAAAGGGTTTCAGCCCCATTTTGGGACTGGTAATGTTGGGCAGCTCAGGATTCCCTCCCTTTTTTGTGTTTCCCTGCAGGAGGTCCCCATGATCCCTCGGCCCCACTATGCCCAGCCTGGCTGTGTTTATTACATCTGCCTGCTGAGGGACGACCTGCTGCTCCGCCAGGGTACGTGCTGGGCTTTCCCCCACAGTGGGCAGGGATTTCTGGCATCACCCTGTCAAAAATCCTCTCGTTTTTCACAAGTGGAAGCTGCTCTCTGTGATGCTGGGAATGACACACAGTGAAAGCTCTCACAGGCTGTTGATGGAGAAATGTTAATTACCTTGAGTGCAGACTCCTCTGGCCAGGGGAGGAAGATGCTGAGCCAACTGCTGGTAGTTAACATTTAGAAGTAAAGGCCAAGAAGGCTGTTAGACCTTCAGTATTTTGGTGCAGAATGGTCATTAAAACACTTAGCTCATTGCTTGTGTGTTCCCTAAAGCTTATCTCTCTAGACAGTGCTCTGAAGCCCCAAATCTCTCCCAGGCAGCTGCCAAAGCCACATAATTCAGTTCACTGAATTCATCCTAGAGATACACACAAGGTTAGAAAAAAGCCTTTATCATTATGAAGGAGCTACTCTTAAATGAGTAAAACCAGCTGATATGTTTGCTAGAGGGGAATAGAAGAGACTTCAGGAAAGTGGAGAATTAAAAAAAAAAAAAAAGGTCAAAGAACAGCATATTCTTCATCCCATTTGCAGGATTCTGGAGTTTCATTTAGTCTTCCTTGGTGGTGGTTGCTCTGCACTGTCCTCTCCAGAGTTCAGCCATTGGGTTTCTCATGTGTTTTTTGCTGGAGAGTAACTCACTTCCAAGGGCTGTGTCAGAGCTGGATTTCATGTTCTCTGTTGGAATGGGTGACGTTTGATCTGGGGGTTGTGGCATCTTCCAGGCATTCAGAGCACTGAGGGCATTTTTGTCATGACACATTGGGTTTTACTCGGGTACCCCTGATCTGATCTTGGTGACTTTAATTAGAGAAATGTCCTTTAATGAGGGAAATGTCCTTTAATGAGGGAAATGTCCTTTAATGAGGGAAATGCCCTTCCTGTGGCTGAGCCCTGCATACCATTAGCAGGGGACAGAGGGGACCAAACTGCCACTCTTGGGCCCCAGATGCCCCTGCAGGTACAGGGGATAGATTAAGCAAGTTGTACAACCAGAAGGTGCTGGGAAGGAACACACAACTCCAGCAGGAGGAGGGAAAATCCGTGGATTCGTTGCTGGTCTCGAGTTCCCCACCCAAAGTTCTGAGGCACAACCACAGGACCTGCTGTGCTGAGGGTCTGTCAGGCACTTAAACAGAGGGAGAAACAGCTTTTTACTCCCTCTGGTTTCTAAAAGGCCCCCTAATCACACATTCTGAGTCAAAAACGTGGCCTTACACACAGAAAGGTGTGTGGATTTACATTTTTCCTGGGTGTTGTGTATTGGAAAAAGCCTGGAAACACAGTTGGGGCCCCCAGCCTGCCTAGGTGAGCTGCACCCTGGACTTCTCTGCCACTTCCAAGCTTGAGAGCTGATGTTTTGGAGGAACAAGGGTGAAAAGCTGTGTGAGTGGGCACACTCTGCTGTGACCAAATCCCTCTCCTTCAGAGGGGTCTCAGGGAGGGCCCCTCAGTCCGTGGTCAGAGAACTTGTTTTTTGATTTCTTGGCAATTCTGCTGGAGGTTGTTGGGTTACACCACAGCTTCCTCTACCAGAATTCCCCAGCACCTAAACCCAGGAGATGATGGGTATAGATCTGATCAGCTGGTCCATCACATCCTGCAGAGGGAACAGGGAGTTCTGCCTCAGATAGGAGCTGACAAACTGGAGTCAGAATGGATCCTGGAAAACCCACAGAGCCAGGAACTGCCCCTTGTCATCACCCCCAAGGCACCAGCAACACCTGCTGTGTTTCTTCCTTGGAAAACCCCCTTTTTGGGGCAGAGGGGCAGCTGGTTCATAGTCAGGAACCTCTGGATAAGCTGGAATTGGAATCATCTTTCCTGATCCTTTGGGCTGGAGAGCATTTGTGTGCATCTCTTCCCGAGTGCTCCTATTTCAGTCAGGCACAAGAAGTGCTGGGTTTGCTTTATTCTCCTGGAAGAGGTCAGGAAGAAGGGTTGAAAACAGCTCATTTAAAACTAGGTGGTTTAAAATTAAATGGCTTTATTTACATTCTGCTTGGGGCCAGCAGCTGCTCTCAGCATGGACCTCTTCATGAGTCTTTTATGGAACCCTCCTCCCTAATTTCTGTGAAAGTTCCCCTTCGTGCTGTGAAGGGAAGCTGTTGTTATCCCATCTTTAGTTCAGGCAGTAATGACACACTGAGCTGTGTGCTGTGATCACATGCTGGAGGGAAGGGATGGATCCAGAGGGACCTGGGCAGGCTGGAGAGGTGGGACCATGTGAAGCTCATGGAGTTCAACAAAGTGAAGTGCAGGGTCCTGCCCCTGGCCTGGGACAATCCCAGGCACAGCCAGGCAGGCCTGGGAGGGGATTCTGCCCCTCTGCTCTGCTCTCATGAGACCTCACCTGGAGCACTGTGTCCAGGCTGCCCCCAATTCAGAAGGACATGGAACTGTTGGAGCAAGTCCAGAGGAGGCCACAAAGTCAGTGAGGGGACTGGAGCCCCTCCCCTATGGAAACGGGCTGGGAGAGGTGGGAATGTTCAGCTGGAGAAGAGAAGGTGCTGTGGAGACCTCAGAGCACCTTCCAGGGTCTGAAGGGGCTGCAGGGAAGCTGGAGGGGACTGTCTGTCAGGAACTGGGGTGACAGGACAAGGGGAGTGGCTTCAGACTTAAAGAGGGCAGGGTTAGGTGGGATATTGGGAAGAAATTCTTCCCTGGGAGGGTGGGGAGGCCCTGGCACAGGTTGCCCAGGTGGCTGCCCCATCCCTGGAAGTGTCCAAGGCCAGGTTGGACAGGGCTTGGAGCAACCTGGGCTAGTGAGAGGTGTCCTGCCCATGGCAGGGGGTGGCACTGGGTGAGCTTTAAGGTCCCTTCCAGCCCAAACCATTCCATGATTCCCTGATTCTCAAAGCTGCTGCAGTGGGTGAGCACAGGATCGTCCCCAGCCTGGCCCTCTGCTCTGTGCAGGTTTGTGTCAGTCTGTCTTCAGACCATTTTGTACTTAATCCAGCTGGAATAAAACTCCCTTTCTCCATCCTACAACTTCCTACAAGCTACTATTTGTTTACTAGGAATGCTGGTTGTCCCAAAGGTTTCAGAGCTGGCTCCATGGCAGTGCCTGTGTGGAACCTCATCCCCTCTGGTTTAACTTGGAGGTTATATTTTTCCATAATGTTTTGTGTCCACTGTTACAGCAACAGGGACAACATCAAACCTAAAAGTGATTTTTGCACATGAGGAGTCCTTGGGAGCATCTTTTACACTTAGACCAGATTGATAAGTGAGAATATATTTATAAAAATAGAATTACTCATCCTTCACCAATCCTAAACTTGGTTATAACAAAACTGAGGTGTTGATGGACCTGAGGCCACGTTTCCCTGGCATTTTGTTCCTAAGTTATGGAAGTTACAGCAACAGAACCTGCTGATGAATAACAGCAATATCCATGGAAGGAAAACAGCCACAACTGCACATACCCAAAACCAGGGGAAAAGAAATAGGGGGAAAAAACCAGGAGTCATTGCAATTTAATGAAAACAGAAGAAAAATGTTCTACATGAGTCCAAAAGGCCAAGGGAGCATCAGAAATTGTTATGCACAAAGTAACAGAGTGACTGTGCCATTCTTTTTATGACTTGGGACCTCCCAGGTTTTTGTTCCTTGTGAGGTAAATAACGAGAGATGGAAGCTCTTCCCATCCCTGCAAGTGTCCAGGGCCAGGTTGGATGGAGCTCTGAGCAGCCTGGGCTGGTGGGAGGTGTCCCTGCCCAGGGCAGGGGTGGAATGAGGGGGTCTTTAAGGTCCCTTCCAACCCAGGTCGTTCTGAGATTCTGTGATTTCACAGATCAGAGCAGAAAAAAGTAAAGAGTTAATTCACTCATGGGACAGAATTGATAGAGAGAAGTTTAGGGACCTCTTTAGGGGTTGCACTTGGCAAAGACTTTTTGAGTTGCCAGCAGTGCCATTTTGTTCAGCCCTTTTTGCATTCTCTGCCTTTCCTGAGCTCTGCATCTCATTGGAATTCTGCTGGAATAACCAAAGGCTTGGGGCTTGTCGAGCCAGGATTTATTTTCTCAGTAACAATCTTCCCTCTGAGTATCTTCTCTCTCAAAGATTTATTCTTTAAACATTGAAGCCACCGCTAATTCCTACACATTTTCCTAATCACAGCTGACTTTGTTCCATATCCTTTGGTCTGTCATCGTAGATTTTGATACCTTACAGGTTGTTTTCAGTCTGGGCATGGGAAGTTACGGGTGTTTCCCCTGTAAAGCTGTTGTGAGAAACGTCACCGTGGCCCTTGCAGGTTCTGCGGTGGGTTTGCATCGTTCTGTAAATCCAACATCAGGGACCTCTCGTGTTGGTTCTGGTGGCACCTTTATTTGCTCCTCTGGTTTTGGAGAGCTGGGAACACGCCCAGCCCTTCACAGGTGTGTGTTTTGTTTCGCCCTGTGCCAGGTGACTGTGTGTACCTGATGAGGGACAGCCGCAGGACCCCCGACGGGCACCCCGTGCGTCAGTCGTACCGGCTGCTGTCCCACATCAACAGGGACAAACTCGACATCTTCCGCATCGAGAAGCTCTGGAAGAACGAGAAGTGAGTGCAGCCCCCACACACCCCACCTGTCAGGGCACAGGGCTTCCATGGAAGTCCTGTCATGGCCTAAAAAGGCAGGAGTGAGCACGTGGTGTGGGTGCAAAGGGGATTCACCTGTCTCTGCTTGTGCTTGTGGGAGCTTGGAGGTTTGAGGTACAAGCTGATGGGCTTTCCTCAGTGTCGGAGCAGGCTGAGGGTTCCCAGTGGCAGCTGTGAGGTGGTTCAGTGCCTGTGACAGCAGCACAGTCAGTCACAGTCACAGTCAGTCACAGCCACAGTGTGCTGTGCCCATGGAAACCACGCCGGGGGTGTTTGATGGGAACAGAAATGAGACACAAGGCAAAGGGAGCCCCAGAAATTGTTATGTGCAAAGCAGCAAAGGGACTGTGCTGCTCTGTAACCTCCCAGGGTGTCTGTCTCGTGCTCTGTGCTGCTCTCACATCCCGTGGCACACAGAGGATCCCACTGGATGAGCAGGATAATCAGATCTGAACCATCTTTTCTGTGACCAAAGCTCTGCCCACCCACAGAGGACTGCAGGGGTGACTCCACTCCCCATCCCAGTCACTGCCAAAGTGCAAGAGAGGGAATTCAGAATGGAGGAGGGCATGAAGTGAAGTTGTACCAGGGGCTCATTTCTGTCCCCTCTCCCCTTTCCCCCCCCAGGGAGGAGCGTTTTGCCTTTGGCCACCACTATTTCCGTCCACACGAAACCCACCACTCCCCGTCCCGCAAGTTCTACCACAACGAGCTCTTCCGGGTCCCGCTCTACGAAATCATCCCCCTGGAGGCCGTGGTGGGCACGTGCTGTGTGCTGGACCTCTACACCTACTGCAAAGGTGAGGACAGGACACGGGACACGGCTCCGGGAATTTGGGCTGTCGTGGTTCGACCCCCGTCGGCAGCTCAGAGCGGCCACGGTGGGATGAGAGGGGGGGCTGGAGAAAGGTAAAATCCCAGGGGTTGGGATAGGAATAGCTGGCTGAAATAAAGTAAAATGTAATAATAATAATAGCAGGAGTAGTAATGGAAAGGGAGATTGCAGAGAGAGAGAGGTCTCCAGTACCTGAAGTGGCTACAAGGAAGCTGGAGAGGGACTCTCCATCAGGAACTGGAGTGACAGGACAAGGAGGAATGGCTTCAGACTGAAAGAGGGGAAATTTAGGTTAGATGAGGGGAAATTCAGGTTAGATATAGGGAAGAAATTCTTCCCTGGGAGGGTGGGGAGGCCCTGGCAGAGGTTGCCCAGAGAAGCTGTGGCTGCCCCTGGATCCCTGGAGTGTCCAAGGCCAGGTTGGATGGAGCTTGGAGCAACCTGGTCTAGTGAAAGTTGTCCCTGCCCATGGCAGGGGGTGGAACAAGATGGTCTTTAAGTCCTTTCCAACCCAAACCATGCCATGATTCCATGAATAAACCCCAGGAAGCACAGTACAGTCCCCATGTGATGCCTGGGCCAAGAACTTCTGAGCACCAACCAAACATCAGGGTGTGACCAACATTATCCTCATCCCAGACACAGCTGAACCAGCTACTGGGGCAAAATTCACTTTACTCCAGCAGGAACCAGGACATGCACTGGAACAATCCTGCTGTCCAAAGGCCATGGGGGATGTTTGCCTGTTCTGGAGCTGAGGACACACAGTGGCTTTGCCCCAGGACAGGGATTCCTGTTTTAAGAGGGACTACACTGCTGGAATTGTGATGGGCAGGGAAGAGAAGGTGATGGCAGTGGATAATTGTTTTTGTGGAAGTTTGGCTGCTGTTTGATCAGAGTGTGTGGATTCCCCCCTGGAATTGAACCAGCAGCGTGTCCTGTTGTGGTTCCGAAGGAGAGCAAACGGGGACACTCCGACACTCCAGCGCTGGGCTGGGGCAAAGCACGTGTTTCCCCCTCAACCTGATGGCTGTTCTTTCCTGTGTGCTTTGTCCTGAACCCCCAGGGAGGCCCAAGGGGGTGAAGGAGCAGGATGTGTACATCTGTGACTACCGCCTGGACAAGTCAGCTCACCTCTTCTACAAGATCCACCGCAACCGCTACCCCGTGTGCACCAAACCCTACGCCTTCGACCACTTCCCCAAGAAACTCACCCCTAAGAGAGACTTCTCAGTAAGTGGGGGTTCTCTCAGCTCCCTTACCTGTCGTTAGAAGGCTGGACAGGGTTTTGGAAAGCCCCTGAGTGTTGGTGAAGGAAGCTTGGTGAGCCCAAGGGAGCTGACCCCGTAGGTGGGGATCAGCCTCTGCTCCCAGCGACAGGACGAGAGGAAACGGCCTCAAGCTGTGCCAGGGGAGGGTCAGGTTGGACATCAGGAAGAATTTCCTCATAGAAAGGATTGTCAGGTGAAGGGGCTGCCCAGGGAGGTTTGGAGTCCCCGTTCCTGGAGGTGTCCCAGGAAGGACTGGTCGTGGCTCTCAGTGCTCTGGGCTGGGGGACAAGGTGGGGATGGGGCACTGGGTGGGCTGGATGATCTTGGAGGGCTTTTCCAACCTTAACAATTCCATGATTCTGTCGGCACGCACAGTCTGGGGGAAAAGCTGGCTTGAAAGCAAGCTGGGAAAGAAAACTGAGTGTAACAGAACCTGCAGTTGAGAGGCAAAGAGGTGCTGAAGGGGTGGGGATGGGTGAGCTCAGAGATGATCTCCAGGGCAGCACTGCCCTGTCTGAGCACAGAGATCTGCAAACCTTCTGTTCTCCCTGGAGCAGAGCTTTTTGTAGTGGCTTTGGAGGTGGTTCCAAACTTGTGCTGTGCAGAAAGCAAAGGGGATTTGTACCCTGATGGTCTGTGGCTTGAAATTTATTTAGAAGATAGGAAAAATCGAGTAAGTCTGGCTCTGATTTGTCCTTATTACGTGATTATTCCTTCTCCTTTGGAGTTGTCTGATGTGTGAGACACACCAGCATTCCCAGGGTGTCCTGCATTGGTATTTCCAGAGTGTTTGATAGACCAGCACTTTCTTCCACTGTGAATTTGCTTTGGTATTAACCACAGTCTTTGTTGCTGTTGCAGCCTCATTATGTGCCAGACAACTACAAGAGAAACGGAGGCAGGTGAGTGTCACCTCCCAGATTGTTTGGGGAGAAGAGATGAGAGAATCCTGTTTGTGGTGTTCACTCTCCTCCTGCCCATTTCCCCTGGGGGTTGTGGAAACCTCGAGTTTAAATTATTTAAAGCTCTCTAAGCTTCCAGAGAGATAAAAGGGAACAAGGGAGGAGGGAGAGCCTAGAGAAGTGTTCCTTAATAATGCACATCAGGAAGAGAACAGGAGCCATTTGAAAGTCAGCAAAAGCAGCTGAGTGTGGAGCTGCCCAGCAGAGGAGGCTCCTCCTTCCCACATGGAGGAGCCCAGATCCCAGTTGTGCTGTTCCATGTCTGCCAGAGGCTGTAAAAACACCCTCCGAGGGCCGTGGCTGTTCCAGGAAAGCCCCAGTAAGCTCTGGCCTGAGCTTCTGGAGACAAAAACCTTCCCAAGTGGAAATAAGAAGCCATTTGTTTGTCACAGCTGCGTCTGTGGGGTGCAGACAAGGCTGGGGGGACCTGGGGGGGTGTGATGGGTGCAGGGACTGAGGGAAGTGCTGAGCTCCAGAGAGCAGTCCTGGCCTCGCCGGGAATCGGCCTCTTAGGTGAGGGTCTGAAAAAAACCTCTTTAAACCCTTCTCCTCCAGGTCATCCTGGAAATCAGATCGCTCAAAACCACAGATCAAAGACTTAAACCAAGAGGAGGACGCTCTGCCCCTGATGGAGGAGGTGCTGGGAGCCCCAGAGCAGGTGCCAGGGGAGCTGCCCGGCCCCGAGGAGCCCGACAAGGAGCCGGTGCCCAGCGAGGGCTGCGAGGCAGAGAAGAAGGGGGAGGAGGCCCCCTCGGACACGAGGCAGCTCTGCAGCCCCGAGGAGAGGAGGCACCTCCAGAGGGAGAGGCTGAACCAGATCCTGCTCAACCTCCTAGAGAAAATCCCAGGGAAAAACGGTGAGAGTTCAGGCTCAGGTCGGGGTTTGCTTCGCTGGGCACTGTGTTGGTAGAATTATTGTGATTTATTTAAAAATTTGTTTGTTTGTTTATTTATTTATTTATTATTTAAACAAAATTTATTTGTTTTAAAATAATTAATTTATTGCTGGTGGGCATTAGGAACAATCAGGTGGGTTTTTTTTGCAGCCACGTTTTCCTTTGCAACAGAAATGCAAGTAAAACCCAAGGGAAGTTTCTTACCACTTGACACTGTTTTGTATAATATTTTTTGTATAATATTTTTGTATAATATTTTTAATTATATTTTTGTATAATATTTTTAATAACCCCCCCCCATCATTCCATGTTTACAACTGGGGAACTAACAGATATGCCAAAGAAGAGAATTTGGAGAGTCTCTTTTGACCTTTTATGAGCTTTCCTTGGGTTCTGAGCACCTGCTGGAGGTGTTGTCTGAGCTGTGGGTGCTCTGGTTAAATGTGTCTCTGCTTTCAGTTTTAAAGCCTGGGATGAGCCCTGTCCAGTCTCTTCCATGTCCTGGCAGTGCCCAAACAGTCATGGACTGATGAATAATCAGGGCTGGGAGGGTCTTTGGGGGTTGTCTGGTCCAGCCACGGCTCAGGGCTAAATTCAGTCTCGGGTGTTTTGCATATATTTGGATATCAGTGTGGATGGAAATACCCCTCAAAGAACCAGGAATAAAGGAACAGGAAAGCTGCTCCTCGTGTCCAGGACAGGGCTGGACGGAGCGGGGACGGGTCCCAGCTTGGACTCGACGGTCCAGGGGGTGTTTTCCCCCCTTCCCGCTGGTGCAGCACTTCCCACTCCCCCTTTTCACGCCTGGGTTTCCTTGCAGCCATCGACGTCACGTACTTGCTGGAGGAGGGATCGGGCAGGAAACTGCGGCGCCGCACCCTGAGCATCCCCGAGAGCAGCTTCAGGAAGTGACGGCGGGGCCACCCCAGCTCGGGGGCTGTGACCTGGGGGGCTGCCGAGCCCCGGGAGCCGCGGCCCGACCTCCTCCGTGCCGGCCCAGGGGGAGGAGGCGGCCGCGAACGGACAGAACTACAAACAGCAGCACTTAAAGGGGCCGGGGCGCCGCCCTGCCCTGCTCTGCAGTGCTCTTGGTGTGTGTGTTGGTGGGCGTGCCTTGTATTGATGTTAGGTACTGAGGAAACCTCGTGGTTATATTGTCCAGGATGGTCAAATTTAATTTATTTTTTGCTTGATATTCCCACTCAGAGGAAAAAAAACAAACAAAAAAAAAATAAAAAAAAAAAAAAAAAAAAAAAAAAAAAAGAGAGAGAGAGAAAAAAAACTGGGGAGGTGAGAGGAAAAAAAAGGAGTGAGTTACTCTGAGGGGGGTGTTCCCCACGGTCACTGAGAACCTGGGGCTGCACCAGCACCGCCAGGGAAGGGAATCCAGAGGGGAGGGGAGAGGCCCAGTGGCTCAGAGTGAAAGGCTGCCCCAGAAAAGCCTCTGATTTGCACAAGTTCCAAGAAGAGCAAGGCCGGGGGTCGCCGCGGGCCGGTCCCTGTGCTCTGTGCCGGGGAGGAGCGGGGCAGGAGCGCTGGGATGAGGCACCGGCTGGGCAGGGGCGGGGGGAGGAAGGGGCGGGGCGTGAGGGGTTTTTTGGGGGTTGTTTTCGTTCTTTTGGGTTTTTTTTCCCCCCCGCTTTTTTTTCCTGCAGAGGAGTTTTCTAGGAAGCGAGTCGGATCCTGACGCCGCCGTTGCCGTTGGTTCTTTTTTGGATAAGCTGTGGTTTTCTCGTGTGTCTCGTGTGTTGTGCAAATTTAAAAAAAAACCTGTTGGGAAGGAAAAAAAAAAAAAAAGGAAAAAAAAAGGAAAAAAAAAAAAAAAAAAAAAAAAAAAAAAAAAAAAAAAAAAAAAAAAAAAAAAAAAAAAAAAAAAAAAAAAGAACTACAAAACCAAGGAACCCTTCACTCCGTGCCCGTCAGGCAGTATCCGAGCGAGTGTTTGTCGTGAGCTGTAGAATATATCGATGCTAACACTACCCTCGTGTGCTGGTGGACAGCTGAACGTCCTGGCCAGGGGTCCCACACCATTCCCACCCCCGCTATCCCAAAATCCCGGAGCCCCCGGGGCGGGATGGGGGGTGGGAGGCACCCGCTGCCCCCGGACGTGGCTTTGCTTTCCTGTCTCAGCCGTACACATGCATATAAACAGTCCTGTTTTAGGTGTTCTTATAAGAAATCCAGTTTTTAATGTGCCAAGTTGTATATATCTGCTGCGTGGATGTAAAGCAATACCGTAGTTACATGTTCCTTTTTATGGACCAAGCTCGTCCTACTGTACATTCTTGTTATTATTATAATTATTTTACTCTTAGTGGAACATGACTCATTCCATTAACTTTTATGTGTTGATTTCAAAAGAGGAGGAACAAAAAAAAAAAAAAAAGAAAAAAAAAAGGCAAAAAAAAACAAAAAAAAAAAAAAAAAAAAAAGAAAGGAGAAAAAAAAACCCCTTTGAGAAAAAAAAATATTTTATTAAAAAAAAAAAAGAAATAAGAAAATAGTTTGGAATATTTTCTTACTGTAGAGAAGCACTGTACAGTACCAGGAACCCTGAGTATAAAATACTCGTGCGTGTAGTAGGAATATCGCATGTCCAGACCCTCGAGTTGTCTCATTTAGTTTCAAACAGAAAAAAAAAAAAAATCATTGTCTCCAATGGTGTTAAACACTAAAAAAGTTTTTAAAAAAAAAAATTAAAAAAAATAAAGTGCGTACAGAAGCGAGACACTAGCTCTGTCATTTTATCTTTCTTTTGTTGAAAGACTAAACGAAATGTTTTTTAGACAATCAAATGTTAGGTAAGTGCAAAAGAACTTGTTTTTTCTTACTGGTGTAGAAATTAATGACTTTTTTTATTTTTCGGTTATTTTATAATACTGAGCAGACCCGTTGTGTCCCCAGGATCGCCGCCGGAGCCAGGAAGCACTACGTTACTGCAAATAGAGCTGAACCTTAGTCTGCATGGGTGTAGGCTGTGTGATTGCTGAAAATAAATGCTGCTAATATATTTCCTTTTTACAAAGCATATCTAAATAGATCATTGTTTTGATGTTAATCTTTGTAAATTATGTATTACCAATTTTAACATTGGATGTAATTGCATAAAAAGCCTGCATCTCAATCCTGAGAGTCTAGTATTAAATGGAAAAAAAATCTTTTCCTACGGCTGGCTCGGGGGGTTTTCTTTGCCGTGGGGGTGGGGGTGTGCCGAGGGCAGGATGGATCTGGACAGGCTGGATCTGGACAGGCTGGATCCACGGGGACAAGGGCCAGGAGCTGCCCTTGGGTCACAACAACCCCGTGGGACGCTCCAGGCTGGGGGAAGAGGGGCTGGGAAAGGCCCTGGAGGTGCTGGTGACAGAGGCTGGACGTGAGCCCAGGTGGGCAGGGAGGGCAGTGGCACCTCTGGAGCAGCCACGGTGGCCACAGGGCCAGGGCAGTGCCGGGCACCTCAAACTCGGGGGGCAGTTTTGGGGCCCTCGCTGCAAGGAGGACACGGAGGGGCTGGAGCGTGTCCAGGGAAGGGAACGGAGCTGGGAAGGGGCTGGAGCAGCAGGAGGGGCTGAGGGAGCTGGGGGGGCTCAGCCTGGAGAAAAGGAGGCTCAGGGGGGACCTTCTGGCTCTGGAATTCCCTGGCAGGAAGGGGGAGCTGGGGGGGGGTCGGGCTCTGCTCCCAGGGAACAAGGGACAGGAGGAGAGAGAACGGCCTCCAGCTGTGCCAGGGGAGGGTCAGGTTGGACATGAGGAGGAATTTCCTCCTGGAAAGGGTTGTTAAGGATTGGACTGGGCTCCAGGGAGGTGGGGGAGTCCCCACCCCTGGATGTGTCCAAGGAAGGAGTGGATGTGGCGCTGAGTGCTCTGGGCTGGGGGACAAGGTGGGGATGGGACACCTCGGTGATCCTGGAGGTGTTTTCCAGCCTTAATGATTCTGTGATTCTTTGATCCCACGATCCCAGGGCTCTGAGGGTCTGTCCTTGCCCTGGCTTGACCTCCTGCTGCACTCCAGCTCCAATTCCCACTCTCCCAAGGCGCTGCCCCAGCTCCCAAACACCCACGTGCCGGGTGGGTGGTGGCACTTTGGAGGATTTAATCTGGTACCAGTGGCTCTGCTGTGGTGCAGAAGTGGCAGGAGGGACAACGGCAGCACAGTCCCCGTGTGGGGTTGGAGGGTGCACAACCACAGACAGGATGGGACAGGAACCATTAAATCCACAAATTCTGTTCCCAGGATATAAACCCTGGTGCCTGACTCTCTATGGCCATGGAAATGCTGGCCTTGACCCCTACACTCACCTTCCTTCTAAACCCGAGGCTCCAGCCAAGCCTTGCAGGGCTGTTTAATTAAAAAAAAATAGAAATACCGCCTGGCTCCTTCCCCTCCTGGTGTGACCCCATTTCCAAGTCCAGGAGCAGCTGTGGGTTTCAATCAAACCTCCTCGAGGCGAGTCGAGTAACATTCCAATTAGGATATGATGTCCCTCGTCTGAGTAAAAATTCCAGAGCGGGAAGTGAGGAGAACAGAATAAAAGGAGAGCGGCTCTGTCCTGACAGCAGGTCCCAGCCCGGGCGCTGACACAGCGGCTCTTTGCCACCCGAACGGGAGCTCAGAGGGGTGAAATGTGGCTCCTGGCCATGGGAGGGAGCAGAGGCCCAAATCTGCCTCTGGGACGAGCGGCTGCCCTTGTGTGGCCACTCCCCGGGCGCTCCCCGGCACGGCCACGTCTCCCTTTTACTGGGGAGCCCGGTACGAACTGTGAGTCCTGGGGCGACATCACAAGCAATGAAAAAAAACCCGAAAAAAATAAAAATCGAAGCCATCCAGCCCCTCCTGACATCCTGTGGCAGTGAGAGGATTAGTTTAAGTTGAACAAACAACTGAACCAACCGACCCGGATCATCCCCAGTGCGTGGGGCTGCTCCCCAGCAGCCAAAACTGGCGAGTGTTTCTCCAGGACTATTCCTGGCTGCAGTCGCCTCATCCCACGCTGTGGAGGAGCCTGGGCACCTTCTGCCGGGGTGTGAGGCCTCCCCACGCTCCCTGGCTGCTGTCCCAGCACCAGCCCAGCCCTGGCACCCCCCGGTGCTCCCACGGGAGCATCTCCAGCGTGGCCAGCCCGGCCCACCCACAGTGGGATGAGCCACGTGGCCGCTCCCAGCCCTCCCAGCCCCAGTGATCCATTCACACAGGCGGACACGTGAGTCACAACCTTTATTTCCAGCCTTTTCCCAGTGGAACAAGCTCATTCCTGTGGTTACAACTTATGTACAGAGTGCTGGGGCAGCGCGGGGCCGGCCGGGGCCACCGGGGCAGAGCGGGACACGTGGAGGTGGCAGCAGTGGCAAGACAGGATGGCATGGAGATAACACACAGGGCTGTGAGTGCCCAGGCAGGGACAGGGGTCGTCCCCGGCCTGGCACAGGCGTGGGCAGCAGCTGAGGAACCGTGAGCCAGAGCAGTTCCCGGGGAGGGTCCCGGAGCGGTGCCGGCGGACGGGACGTCATGCGGAGGAGCAGCAGTGACGGGCACAGGGCCGGGTCCCCTGGGAGCCGCCAGCCCCGGGGGTGGTGAAGCCCCAGAGGTGGTGAAGCCCCGAAGGTGACAAAGCCCTGGAAGTGGTGAAGCCGCGGCAGGAGACATCCCTTCCCCGCTCCGCCAAGCTCAGCCGCTTCCTCGGGTCTCCTCCGCCTCCTCACAAAATCAGGGACGTGTAACCAACAGGAACGAGGCCGGTGCTGTTTCCATGGCAGCAGCGGATCCAGTCTTCATCCACGGTGGAGAGCAGCTGCAGGATGTCCCCTTTTTGGAAGCTCAGGTGCCCGTCGGCAGTGCCCGTGTGGTCGCACAGTGCCCGAACTGCCCTGCACCACAATCACCATCGGGGACTCGCCTCCCCAGGGACCCCGAGGACCCCCAGGGCTCCCACAGCATTCGGGGGGGGTTGATGCTCATGTGAGGAGCTGGTGACCCCCTCCTTAGGCAGAGGTGCCACCTAAGGAGGGACCCGGGATGGGGAGCAGAGTGGGAGCAGCTCTGGGGCAGAGGGGGTGGGGACATCAAGGCCAGGGCCAGCGAGGGCTGGGGAGGAGGGAAGCAGCCAAACACGGTTTGGGGTGGCCACACCCCCGCCCTGCTCTCTCGGACACAGCACTGCTGCTGTTCTGACCTGCCATGACCCGGCCAGAGCTGCCACAGGGTTGCCCCAAACGAGCTGCCACAAATCCACAAAATCCACGGGAAA